TCTCAGAAGCTCTTTCTAAAGCAGAAAAGAGTGTTTTAAACTGGTTCAAATAAACTGATCTGTAATCAATCCAAGACCCAGAAAATTGATTTCTCACTCTCTATTAAACAATCAGACCACTCAGTAAAAAATCTTGGCTTCCACCTCGATAGTAAATTAAACTGGAAAACTCACATCACAAATTTAAGCAAAAAACTATCGAGAGTTTCATGTTTATTCTGGAAACTCAAGCCTTTTGTCGATATTGAATATCTCAAACTAGCCTATTTTGGGCTGTTTCAATCCCATATTCAATATGGAATCCAACTTTGGGGCCATTCCCCCTTTGTTCATGAGCTTTTACTAATACAAAAAGAAGTCATCCGCACAATGTTAGGGGCTGACCCTGCGGAGCACTGCAAACCACTTTTTATCAAACTAAACATTTTCACAATCATTAACTTATACATCTACAATGTACTTATACACTAAAGCTAATCTCAATGAGTTTTCCGCCAGGCAGAATTACCATTCCCACCATACACGAGGTAAGGAACAACTGGATATACCACATCACAGGCTAGCCATCACAGGTAATTCTTTCAAACTTCACTGTGTGAAATGTTATAATAAGCTGCCTGAGCCTCTTCAGGCAGACAGCCTTTCTCTTTCTCTTTTCAAATCCAAAATTCATAACTGGCTTGTAGCAAATATGTTCTTCAGTCAAGGACTTTTTGAAACATAAAATTACAATGGAATCATTCATAGGCCTACTGTAAGTTAGGAATTCTCAATCTTTGTTAGCTATAGATATAACATACTTGTTGATATTTTGTTTAATGTAATTTGACAATGCCTATTCCTGTGTACAACCTGGTCAACGGCAATAAACTTTCTTATTCTTATTATTAACAAGGTTGATGATCTATTCAGCACTAAACCACTAAGTTATGGATCTGTTTCTGGATCAAGTAGGGCTAAAGCTAAAATTGAGTTAGTAGAAGAGAAACAATAGATACTTTTACTGGTGGCTTTGGATTGCAAAACCAAAAGATTTGTAAACCAAGACATAAATCCATCAGACAGTTTTGTATCTGTTTTCTTTGACTAGATATCTATATATATAATTCCGTAAGTCAAATTTTTGTAAAGAAATTGTGAGTGACTGGATGGCCGTAGAAGGATGGGAGGGGTCTTATTTTAAAGGTCTTGACGTGAATTTTGAGGGAAAACTATTCATTTTTCTTATTTTTTTTACCATAAATTCGCAACAGAATAAAACTTTTCCCATTAACACGTTCGCTGCTGAGCACTAGATGCCGGGACGGCGCCAGTTGCTGAACTAACGCTCGGCCGCTGCGTGACATTGCCACCGATACACTGAATTACAATAAAAACAACAGTAGTTATACTGGATGGCAATGTTCTGCAATACAACTGGCTTTGGATATAGTACTAAGTGATTCTGATAGATAGCAGCACTACCCAGGTTACAGTCGTTAAAGTAGTATCGCTATCTAGCAGGAAAGAGGTAAAACAAAGCCCTGTTCCAAACGACCCTGGTGGTGATTTGGAAAAACTATATTTTTTATTGTCAGAAAAGTACGTCCCCACGAGCTGCAAAGAAATATAGAACGCTTGTGACGTGCTGGCTTATCCATAGCAACGTTAAACAACAATGAACGGTAACGTTCTGGAACGTTCTTAGCTCCTGGCGCCGTGGCCCGGCTGACGTTCCGGAACGTCCGTAGCAGCGAACGTGTTAAAACAACATCGATGGGGTTTAATTTGTTTACATCTTTTGAAATTAAAACAGAAGTCATTTACTGCTGATTTCTGTTTACTTCAATACAGCTGATCGTGCTATATCTTGAAAACAGTGATCAATACACGCATTTGGTTTACTTTTAGCCAGTCAACTATGAAATGTATACTATAATAAAACTGAAATCTAGAAGATTAATCGGAAAAACGTCTGCATTCTTTGTTTATATTTAAAGCATATACTCAAGTTTCATTTTTTCATGCTTTTACGTTATTGTCGTGTTAAAGGAATAAACGACATAGAATAAATATTCCGTATAAATAATCAAAGAGTCAAAATTAAATCTAACTTCTGTTTTGTTTTTATTTTTAAATCATATGTTCAAGTTTATTTTAAATGATGTTGTTTTCTTTATATTTCTACACATTTTAAGGTTAAGGTTGTGTTAATATATACAACTAAAATAACCTACAAATGTTATTGGTTCTAAAATGGTGTATTTGCATTCCTTCGTAGGTAAATATTTTTTTAGTGCAGTGAATATACAACGTAGAGTAATCATATTCGATCATACTTTTATAAAATCACCAGGGATTCAAGATGTTTTGGTATGTAGGCTGCTGGATGTATATTCTTTTCATTATAAGTACTGTAATTAATATGAACGCCAGGGGAAGACCACAAAGGCGGGGAGCTGTTCATAGGAATGACAGTGCGCGTAGAAGAGCAAGAGTAGATAATGACGAACTTAATCAAGATATGTTACAAACCCCTTTTTAGGAGACCCATGGTAGACGAAAGAAATGTAAATATCCATGATGCAGGATTACTGGACCAAGAGTGCATTCAATGTAGTGCTCTTCATTTTAGAGAAGAACTAACGAATAATCATTTTATGACATGTTGCCATAACGGACTTATTAACCTTCCTCAGCCAAAAACTAATGTAGAACTTAAAAATTTGTTTGAAGAGAGCCCACAACTGTATAAATTCATTCGACAATACAACAGTGCGATGGCTTTTGCTTATTTTTCAGCCAGTAAGAAAGATATTCCAGGAAAAGGACCATACTGTTTCAAAATTCAAGGACAGATTTATCGTTCAATCTCAGATTTGCTGCCTCAACATGATGAAGACCCCGTGTATGGTCAATTGTACATTATTGACACAGCAACAGAAATTCGTCAAAGGCGTCGAGAAAATAGTGACTTAAAACCTGAAATATTGTCAAAACTAGCTGAAATTCTATTAGAAAATCCATTTGCACAAATTTACAAAAGAGCTTCGGAAGAAATGGTTGTACAAGGTGACAGTGAATCAGAACTTAGGTTTGTAGACAGGATAAATATGGATCGTCGTAGGTATAATAAGCCTACTGCAGATGAAATTGCAGGCGTCTTCAACTCATCTGAAGGCGAACCTCCAATTAATTTTTAAAATTCCAAACAGGGAAGCTTTTATTTATCCTCATTAACCACAAGACCAGTATTTATTCACAAACAATGATATGTTTGCTGCCTTTTCATGTTAAACCACTGGAGTGATTCAAATTATTTATTGAAAATGACATCAACAAAAGCAAACAAAGAAGAACAACAAACTGGTTTTTACACAAAATATATGGTGTAGGGATGCCTATTCTGACACATAGATAATGTTATTCTGAGTTTGTTTAAATACCGGAATTGCAATATGTTGTTTTACATTTCAGCTTTTTAGGGACTTATGTCCCTACAAGCCACTAGTATTATTTGTATTTTTGCTGCACTTTTACATAGCATTTTAAATTTAGTTATGGGTTTGACTAAGACTAATGTTGCCTAAATTGTTGCAAGTATTCGTTGTCTTTACAAACTGTCTTTGCTTAAGTTACATGATTCAAAAATACTAAAAAGGACTAGGTTATGTTCCCAAGGCCTAAAAAACCAACTCTTCAAGAATATTTATTTTAATGAAATACATACATGAGCAAGGCTTTATTTATTACAGTTAGGCTACATGCTGTAGGCCCCCTACTTAGCATGTAAATGATTTCCTTCTAGTGGTGGTACACATAAAGTAGTCCTTGCTGATGTATTTTTGGTTTACATTTACCCTATCATAAGACGGTGAGCACTTTTTCGTCTAAAAACGCCGTGCCGTTTCGCGACTATCGTTCGTTATACTCTATCGAATCACGACATCATCTATACAGTACACGGCGTTTTTGTACAAAAATTTTCTCACCTCATAAGACAATGTAGACCATGAGCCACCAATATGAAACCCTCCCCCCCCCCCCCTGTGGGAATTTATGACTTATACTTTTTTGTTGGTATTACCTACCAGATTAAGAATTCAGTTGTTTGCCTCTTATAAATTACAGCGTATTCCGGAAAATAAAGAAAAACTGTTAAATTTAAAAACTGTTTTATTTAAATTACATAAGGGTAGCCTGCGTTAATTACTGGTGAAATATTTTTTATAGACTTCTTCAGTATGTATTCAAAGGCTTCAAATGAAAATAAAAAAGTTAATAAAATACCCCCGCTGCAGCAAACTTGTAGGCAATTAGGTTTTCAAATTGGCCTGAATTGCAATTAAATCTATTTAAATAACATTAGATTTAACGAGTACCTCTAGGAAAGAGATTTTAAGAGATTCTATTTAAATTAAATAAATTTTATTGAGAAATTTTTGACGTAAATTTTACTGGAATGTAAGATTCCAGTAAAATTAACATTTAAAACTTTGTTTTCCTCGTATCGAAATCGGATTTGCGACAATAATTTTCTTTTTAAATCTCTTTAAAATAATGTGCTGATTGATATGGGTTGCCTTTTAAAAAATTTAAGTTACTCTTAGCAACCCTGTTTGTAGGGGGGGGGGGGGGTGAATTTCAAAATATCACCAAAAAAGAACCTTATATTACCCTAGAAACGTGTATTGATGCTTGTTAGAATTTATGCATATTTGTGCTGAGACCATTCATTATTTAGCAGGTTAACCCGTTGTTCCTTATTTTTACCATTAGCTAGGATTTTTTTCCAATCCCGTGGGATCTTGATTTTGGACCTCTCATTAAAAACGTTTCTCCAAAACCCCTTCTCCCTTTCAATGTTTTTAATAGATACATCTAAATAGGTATCTGTAATAAAGTATATCCTGCTGAATTTCGGAAAACGGCTGAAGGCAATCTATGTGCTAGTTCACCAGAGGTTTCTGGAATATTAGTAAGAACCTAAAAGTAAGCCATACCGTCAATTACATACATACATTCTTCAATCTTGGAAGGTTTGTCTACTATATACCCTTGTTCTCCAAAGTATGGATCAGTTTGGCCTTTTCTGTTTTTGTTGGGCATCCATCGGTAGTGGTTAATGCCCATGGTTCTGGATCTAATGGGTATGTCATCAGCTTCTTCCTGGGACAGCATTAAAACTCCAGAAAAATATTTCTTTTAGCTCATATCTCAACTAACCTGTTTGCATGCAGCTTTCCCTAGATTCTACATTGAGTAAATTGTCTTCCACCGATTCGGGTACAGGTCTTCCAGAAGATAAACATACCATCTAGGAATTCTGATCACGGTTTTCAACTTCAAGCAGAATAATGCATTGTTCAAAAGCATCAAGTACAGTACTTGCAAAATACTTTGATCACTTCGTTTCATTTCATTTGTTTGCATGTCACTGTGAGAACAATCTGATGACTTCACCATACTTGCATTTTCAAATTCTAACTAGCTGTGGGCCCGTCCTACGCACAGGAATCAACTAATCAAATCAAATCAAACTAAAAAATCTATACTAACTATATCATGCTGCACTGCAGCGTTAAAATAAATATCATATCCGAGAAATAATCAAATTTGTGATTTTTGATTGTGTACGGTAATACAGTATCTTAAACTTAACTGATTCAAACGATCAATAGCTCAAATTAAAGCCTATAATTTACTGATTATTTTTAGTCTAAAACATATAAAAAACGTAAACAATGTACTGGAGCTATTGATATTCAATCATAGAAAAACCTTATATTTTTGTTTATGTTGGATGTTCACCTTGCGTTTGCTTGAAACCCGTTCGATTTAAATAACTAATATCTTATGTGCAAGCCGGTATTTCACTAAAGTTCTTAGACCAAAATATATAGGGTACAATTATAAATGGTAAAATAGCGTACAATTTAAATTAAGAAATATATCAAATCTATGTTTTTTGGTCGAGTAATAAAGTAGATAAATATACAATGATGCTTGATGTGAAATATATGTGTGCATACTACCAATTTAAGACCTCAATCATGAAGATCGGACGTGTAGAAGAGCCAAAGAAACTCGGAAAAGAAAAAAAATCAAATTTAACGCCCTTTAGAAATACATGGGGGGCAAATTTGATTTACGTATAAGCCGAGTGGGACTGTCGATAAATATATACTGATGCTTGATGTGAAATCTGTGCGTGCATACCTTCAATTTGAGACCTCAATAATGAAAATCGGGTGGGTAGACTAGAAGCGCCAAACGAACTCGGAAAAGAAAAACCAAATTTAACTCCCATAAGAAATAGGCCTACATGGGGAGAAAATGTCGTTTACGTATAAGCCGAGTGGGACTGTAGAAAAATATATGCCAATGCTTGATGTGCAATCTGTACGTTAATACCTTCAATTTGAGACCTCAATCATGAAAATCGGTCGGGTAAAAGAGCCAAACGAAATCGGAAAAGAAAAACAAATTTTTTTTATGTATATATATTCTAACTACGGTATCATGATATTTTCGGTATCATGATATTTTCGTGTTTTCTGGAACATGCTGTAATTCACAAGAGGCAAACACCTAAAATCTTAAAGTACATGTCAATACAAGCACAAAATTGTATATTTCAAAAATACCCACCAGGGGGGAGGGGGGGTAGACCAGCCTCCGCTCTAATGTATAGACCATTTGGCAAATACATGCAATTTATCTTTTCGAGGAGTACTGTCATTCAGGATACTGAAGTAGACAGCTCATCTATATGGATCAGCTGTCGCCAATTTTTTATTAAAAAAGAATGTGTATGAGCCAGTCACAGAGTGTGATAGGCCTAGTGTCTAAAATTATATTTTCTACCTTATTTTATGTTGCTGACATAGTTGATGGGTCCATTAAATCACTTATAATGAATTCACCAGCTTGGACTAATTTGATCAAAGCTGGGGATAAGTTAAAAATTCAATTCAAGACATTTGTTGATTCATCACAACTTAACTTTACTTATTATTCGGATCATGCTAGAGCTAGACCTAATTCTGAGTAGGCCTACTCTATTTAATAATCTCCTTATCACGAATGAAGGACTTAACTTAATAACTTAACTTATTGTAACAATGTGATAAGGAATGTATTGTAACCTAAAATAATATTTGATTGTGGAGTAACAGAGTCAAACCGCTTTGAAAATTATTTTAAGCTATAAAGTTAGTCTTGTAAAGTGATTTGATTGAACTACTTACCAAACTTACCTTAGGCTAATATATTATTAATTCCATTTTTTTTTTTAGGCCTATTACTGGATCAAATGGACTATAGAAATTTGTAATTTTCTTATACTTGGTTTTGTGTAATTAGTAAAACCTACAATGTCTACTTACTTGCTTGACACTTTGTATTGGAATTGGAAGTAGAACTTAGAACTTAGATTAGAACTGAACTGAACTGCAAAAAAAACCAATGGCAATATCCTCCCACTCTTTTTGTTGTAGCAGTAGGCAGAGTGAATTGTGACAGAGACAGAGTGTCAGGGGAGCGTTTCATAAACTCCAAATTTCACAAACTCCAACGCTTAAAATATTAAATGAACAGAGCGGTTCATAACCTCCAAATTTCATAAGCTCCAAATCTATAACATTCAAATAATCACTGGTTCACAATGTCCAAGTTTCACAAACTCCAACGTTTAAATATTAAATAAACAGAGCGGTTCATAACCTCCAAATTTCATAAGCTCCAAATCTATAACATTCAAATAATCACTGTTTCACAATGTCCAAATTTCACAAACTCCAACGTGAAGATACCAAATAAACAGTGCGGTTCATAATGTCCAAATTTCATAACCTCCAACGGTACAGTCTGAGCCAGAAGTCTCTGCAGTGGTTGCCACAGCTTATTAAACGGCCCCAAAACTCAATGTTCCGCTTCAAAATAACTCGACATTTAGCCTACTTAGACTTAAGTTATATGGTTGAAACTTCGTATGAGTGAAGTCAATAAGTCTATGACACTATTGGTTTTAATTAAAAGCTTAAAAGTTAGTATTTTCTATTTTAAATCTTCAAATAAAGTCGGTACTTTTAAATGAGTTTTAAAATATGACATGAAAAAGTTCGTCGGCTGCTACTTTTTTTATTTTTTGGTCAGGTAAGTTAAAAAACGGTGGATTTTGTAGCTAAAGAGTTGAACCTTTTGGATCATATTTTTTTAAATTTTTAGCTGGCGTAGTTTGGTTGTAATTTAAATTGTAATATAGGGGCTACCCGCCGCGCCGCGTGGCGTCATGCGGGCAGATTCTGCCTACAACGTCACTTGTAATACAGTTTAGATACTCAAATTTGGAGCTATACAGGAAAGTTACTAAACTAATTAGAAAAACACGGATTACGAGTCACACTCAGCTGTGTGACTCAAATATGTGTTAGCACATAATTTGCAAATCAAATTACATATTTATATTTTTAATAGCTTTAATTCAAGCTTTCAGCTGAGTTTCTTAACTGTTCCGTCTCTCAATTAAAAGCCATTACAAATATCGTAAGAGATTTTTTTTACCGATGAAAAATTTTAAAACATATAAATTTGTTTTATAAGTATATTTTCTATTAGCTGTTAAAATTTCATGATGATTACATCAGTAGTTTTTTTTTGTTATGTGTAAAAATAGCCCTTTGTTAGAAAAGTGCCGAAAACCTTGTACTTTATTTATTCTACCCACCAAAAGGACGAGAGTTAAAACAACATAAAAAGGTAGAAACTAACATACATAAACGCAGAAATACATTTTTATAAATAGGATTTAACTTATTCATCATATTGTAGGTATACTGGTCAAGTTTCAATAAAAGTTCATACTCGAGTATTTACACTTTTTTACTCGACAGCAGTCTCGTTTTCTCCTTGCAACTTAATGTGGGTAGTTCAATAATGTTAAAGTTTTGACAAGGTGATAATTTATATTTGGATTTGCCTTTTCAGTGGAGAGTTAAGCATTGTAAACCTTTTATTTACCAAAAAAATGCGTAATCACAAACAGCTAAATAATTCATGATAAAATTTTTGTTGATTGTGTGAGTCTAACAGTAGAGGACGAAGATTATCTCAACTTGAACATAGTGCGTAGTATCTATGAGCAGAGGACTTGAAAAATTATATTTAAGTTTTGATATAATATCATACGATAATCAGGAAAAGAACCTGTATCCAAGAGAATAGTAAAAAGCTCACGCGCGCGCACTGTTTTAAGTATGTTGTGTACATTTGCGACTTTTCGGGTGCTTCATATTTGGCGCCAGAATGTGCCTTGTTGACCTTCATTATTTTTTTCTCACGCCCGTCCATAACGGATTTATAGTACATCCGCTTGACTAGTTACTGATATTTTAATTCACTCCACAAAATTCTGCCTTAGTACAGTATTTTGTTAACTCGAGACTTCTTTGATTCCTAACAGGACCAAACAGGTGAACAGGACAGTTAGGTGATAGGTCATACTGTCAATATACCTGATTATATAAAAGTAATATCGATAAATAAAATAAACTACAAATGTCATGTTTTATTTCCTGAACCACGAATAGGCAATAACAATACATTAAGAATAAGATAACAGCTGGTTGAAGTGTATGTAATGTATGTAACGCAACTGCAGGTTTGCTGCGGCGGGGGTATTTTCATTTTAAAACATATGTTTACGAAGTCTACAAAATTATTTTACTTTGTTTACATGTCTTCATATTTCAAGCGTATTATTGTGTTGAAGGAATGTTTAACAATCAATAGCCACTTTCACTAATTAATTATGGATTCAATATTAAATGGAAAACTCCTGTTTTGTTTTTATTTCAAAAACATTATAATGAGATGATATATTCTAAACGTTTCTGTTACACAAAATACAGTTAAAATACAGTTAAAATACAAAATACAGTTGAAGCATAGACATGAACATTTGACGCTTACTTTAGTGTTTAATCAATATTTTGTTTAAAGTGGAATGACCTCAACGGCTACTCTGGAACTAACCTGAGAATTAAACTAAAAAAGTTCGTAGAGACAATATATTTTTTCACTAAAGCAATTACTATGACA